AGTATTCTGCCGTGTCATCAATGGTGTAGATTTCGTCGTTGCCAGAAACAACAGGGAACATGTCCGCAAACATATCCTCGATCAGATTCCCAAACGAGTACACATTGGTGTGAGCGAGGGTCAAAGTAAAGTCGAGTGTGTCGATATCCGTGGCCACAAGCGTGTCAGAAGAGGAAGGATAACTAGAGGGGAAAAAGGACAAAACAGAGCTCTTGTGTGCAAGGCGGGTACAGACAGAGCGAGTCTTCAGTCGCGCCGAGGGAAGAGTGTGGCGAATACGAGTAAGCATGGTGAAACCAAGTAAACAATACCTTTAACAAAAATAGGTAAAAAGGAATATATGAAAAAGGTTTGGCAAGAAAAGAAGTTAAAGGAACAAGTGTCCGCGGACCTATCTATAGACAACTAGTCCAGAATACGACTTGGCGAGTCACCAGGTGAAAAGCCAGGACTGTGTTGTCTAAGCGACCCACGGCATTACGTACGCCATCAACCTCTTGTCTAATTGGATTGGACCTTAGATTCCAGCCATATTAATAAAAAAATTTAAGCCGGGTGTCTGGCGTTTATTTTTGGTTGTTTGGAGGAGCGAGGGAGTATGTGTCTATATGCTAAAGGCGTATAGGCAACGGTGTTGATATCAAAATTGGTATGTTTTGCCGATTTTAAGCTTTCCAAGGACACAGATAACACCTAGTTTGGCTAGGAGCACAGGTGGACTACAAGTACAGAAGCTGTTGATTGCAAGCAAAACTGTTGTCAACGGAGAGTACATGATCGTATGCCCCAAGGACATGGAACGAAAGGGCGTACCCTTATTCCCCACAGTAGATTCGGACCGACAATGCCGGCGAACTGTTTTACGCGCAGTAATAACCAACACTAGGCGCATAGGCCCCAAGGGCAGTTGTTCTTGAGTTTAATCAAACCGTCCGATAAACTAGCTTTGCTGAGTGAGGCACACCAGTGAAAACTCTTAGCAATGCACCCAAGTTCGACACTGAATGCGCTCGTGAAAGAGCCGCTATAAAGGGAAAAGGCAGAGCGGCTTGAGTGTTGCTTTCTTCTCTTTTACCTCCCCATGCTTTTTACTCTTTTATTATTCTGTCAAATAAGCCCTATAACGCTCTGTCTCCGCACACGCTCATATATGGACAACTATATTATACTTGCGCTTCATCCTTGTGAAGTCCAGACAAACACAAAGCTATGTATATATTCGTAATCTTTGGGTGCTGATTATTTTGCTTACACTTTCACAGGTACCCCCTCTCTATCATTACCCTCACCATTTGCGCTGGTGCCAAGCTGGCATTTTCCGTGACCGCGATCCATCCATCCAGAGATCTAAGCAATTGCGGACAACTGCGCACAATTTCAACAAGAACCAGACTGCAGTGGGCTTTGGTAAGTACATGCTGACATCGTTTTTTCTAGAGCTTTGTCGTGCTCAACAGATAAATGTGGCTATTCACCGACGCCCTGATTTCAGGCTATGACCGATCTATTGTCGGTCTAAGGGACATGCAGCGGGCATCGCTGTGAACTGTTTACAAGGGCGGGTTTGAGCTATAGAGTATTTATTAACTGTTAGGCAATGTGCGACTAAAATTCAATACACGCATAAATATTGGCGCCCTGAGGTAAAGTGCTTACAAAATTGTTTTATTGCTAAAATATAGAAGACGAAATGAAAAATATAATGCTAAAAAATGGTGTCTACCTTTTTAATCCTTGGAAAACTAGTGCTCGTTGTAGTAATCCAAGACTAGCCGCGGTGTGATGTCCAGCACATCGTTGTTGTCCATATGCCGGAGAACCTTGCTAGTTAGTAGCATGGTTGGTGTAGCCATTTTGCCGGGGGTCTTTGTCTGCCTGCCATCAGCCGCACAAGGTGCAGGTCCCTGTGCTGGTCATCGCCGAGTAGTAAACCGGCGTACCAGTCGCGCAGTGCATGATAGGCCGAGTACAGTGTCTCCAGCTGATAGTCACTCAGCCTATCCAGGAGGTCTTAGTTATATTCACGCCGGGCCATGTCAATCCATTAGCGATCCGTACAAGTGACACTCTTCTCGTAGCTACCATCCCCGTAAACAAAAGTAACTGGACGGACACTGCAGTGGCCACCGACGCTATAGGAGCGCTTGACATGACAACTGTAGGTCATGCAATCACCAATAATATCTAATTCGTTGATTTGATCAATATATTGTGGATCGATCTGTGTGCGCAGACTATATGAAGACGAGGTTTGTTTATTGCTACTAACCATATCCCCATAGTAAAAGCCAATAAAGATGCGAGCTGTTGGCAAAAGGCATGAAGTCAGGTATAAAATATATTTTGAAGTGGCTTATCAAACTGAATCAGGGAATAAAATAGTGCGTAGCTCACAGATGACAAGAACTAGGACTGATAGGAGCCGTTTTGCATCTTTTTCTCTTCATCTATTATTTAGTCAATTTAATATTATATACCCCAAAGGTCCGAGTCCTTTGCGACGGAACTCTTACTGCCTTTTGTTAATTTTAAATACGTACCTTATAATTTTGTTGGCTTTTTAGGTCACTTAAGCGGCCCAAGCACTTTGGGGAAAAGGATACGTGTACCTTTATAAGCTCACCTAAAGCCCTACCTGTGTAGATCTGTGACTTAGCTCGAAAACACACCGAATTTGAGTTAGAGCCTCGTTAGTTCAATGGATAGAACGCCAGACTTCTAATCTGGAGGCTGCGGGTTCAACCCCCGCACGAGGTTTCATTCCAGATCTTACTCCTTTTTTCCTCATTTTTTATTCGCTCATTTTTACTTTACGACAAAATTTATATACTTTTGCATGTCTCCACCCGAATAAACTAAATTTACTTTGCTTTTATACTGATCACGCAGAGTGTTCAATGCTATCCACAGCTTTGAGGGAATGTCATTTTCAACGTCCCTGTTAATGTAATAGACCACGTATGCATCATTAGAGTCAGAACACTCAAGTACACGGTGGTCTGCAGAGCTTAACCCAACCACCATTGAGCATATGTTGGTCGA